AGCTGTGTAAAAATGCAAAGGTGGCATAAAGAAGGGATTGCGTAGCGGCTCTATTGCGTGATTGCTGTGTAAAAAGGGCTAGTGAGCATCTGTTGCCCTAGTTTTGTGTTGTGCTCAGTACCATCAGTACTATTCTGCCCTCACTGGCATTTTTTTCAGGAGATTCAGCAACCCTGCAGATCAGTAATATATGCACTTCAACTTGGTGCACGAGAATAGAAACGGAAGTAAAGAAAGCAGCCAAACAGCTAAAGTCAAGAGGGCGTGACATCGAAACAAACTTTAAGATTATTTTTTAAGCCATCGAGCTCACTAGAAAAAAATGTTGTTGTTCACTAGTTCACAGTAAATTAAATTTGTTCTTTCAATATCGGGTTGTGTTGTTAATGGGATAACTGGCTAACTAAGTAGAATCTTGCACCCGTCTTGTCAGTCTTCTCGTTTCCCTTTTTGAATGACAGATACAGAAGACCGCTGCCTGCTGGTATGGAGAGTTATTTACTTTCATGCATGCACAGAACAAACGTGCAAGTTTGCTGTCCGCTGCAACAGTTGACCTTTGCCTTAAGAATGTATTGATCAACTGCATTGAAAACTGTTTAAAGGTTAAGAAGTAGTCACCTGAATTGCCTGCAAAAATATGGACCATATTGTCATTACAGACAAAGCAGAGGGTTGTTTTAGTGCATTGCATTTAATTTAAATCAAAATGGTACTTAATAGAAAGGGAGTTTTTGCATCCAAACAGTAAAATTCATAGACACCTGTGGTCAAGCACAGATCAATATTTCGTTTATGGATTTAAAAAGTCCATATTCCTTTACACCAGTTAGTAACCTCACAGTTTGTGAAAACTTGTGGTTTTATATATTGTAGCGAGCTGGGGACTCTTGCTAACAAGAGGACAGCAGAGAGATGAACTCTCAACCAGGAAGTGCTCTTTATGTATCAATTAGGCTTGTGCTGGTTTGGAAATTTTCCAACCGGTTTGATTTAAAGCCAAATATCTAACCGAACCGATATATCGAATTATATACCTAATTTTACCACTCGGGGTCGCATTTGAGCTATTTTTCCCAATAAAAGCCCATTATAGGTGTAATGCGCTTCCAATCCACTAGGTGGCGATAATGCCATATTAACCGCCAATACACACAAGGTTACACAAGAAGAAGAAGAAGAAGAAGAAGAAGCAGACGGACACTTCTCTTGCGGCAGCAGCAGAAAGCTGAGCGGAGCCTCTGAGACACACTAAACAAAACACTTGTAGGCTCCTCCACTTCATTTAAAAACATACATAAACCTTATTAAGTTGTCATAATGCATGTTACAATGCAAGATAAGTTGAATATAGTCCCTTGACACGCCACTGATGTGAAAAGCTCACCCCCCCACCCCCACCCGGTTTATTTCACGTCAACCGGATAAATCGGGTGGAGCTCTTAAACCGGACCGAACCGGTTAAACCGGAAATCAGCACAAGCCTAGTATCAATAGCACAACTTCTCACACAACTCTCTGATCTACACAGGTGGGAGGTCAGCCCCTTCGGGGCAGTGCAGGAGTCACACTGGTGTATGTAGAACTCAATATCCTGGCGACACCCTGGTCAGTAGAACTGGGACCGGAGGCGTTAAAGGGTCTTGGTGACTCCTGTGGACAAGCTTGAGAACTCTGGGGCACAGCTGGTGAGGCACCATGAGTTGGAGGATGTCATAGTTGCCTCCGAGGGCCTGCAAGCAGAAATGGAGGTGGTACTATAGGTACTTTACTGCCCTTACTGAGGCAATGTGAGGATGTCACAGTTGCCCCCGGGGGCCTGTCAGCAGCAATGGAGGGGGCCATCATGGTTGGTGATGCTGGACCACTTGGTTTCAGCATCCAGGGGTGATACTGCTGGCCATGCTGGTGGTTGCCCTGCCCTCACCTATCCCTAGACATTAGAGAGGACAGATTGATAGTCTCAAAGCTGTGATTGTGGATCATGGGTGATGCATGGGGGCCATTACTGCTACCGTCTGGGGGAGTGTCAACATCATCTGCTGCAGTGTCTCGTAAAGCTGCTATCATTGGGGTTGGGGCAACGTGTTTTTCCATGCCCTGGCAGTACTGGCATTCCTCATCCTCACAGGGGCGACAGTGAGACAGCGTGTCTGCATTGGTTTGAAGGCAGCTGACTCAGTGGCAAATCTCAAAGTTGTAGTCCTGTAGTGCCTCCAGCCACCGGGCCAGCTGCCCTTCAGGTTCTTTGAAGTTGAGGAGCCAGGTAAGGGATGCATGTACTAAGCTGGTGTGTGTACAGTCCTCATCCCTGGCTGCAAGGTTGTCAGCGAACAGGTCAGTAACCCTTGGAGCTGGCGTCTCTGTTCCACCTCCAGGCCCTAGCTCCTGCGGAACAGGTCATTGATAGCTTGCTTGGTCTCAGTGGATGGCGGCTGGGGTTGCTGTGATGCTGTGGAGGCCCCTTCGGCTGCTGGCTGCTGTGTGGGGGACCCTACAGATGGTGGTTGTGATGCAATAGGCCCCTCTGATGATGGAGTTGAAGTTAGGTTAGCAACAATGATCTGTTGGACCCACTGTCTTTGAGTGGTGGTAACGATACCGTGGACCCACTGGTTGTCGGTGATGGGGTGGAGGACCCTTGGGCTGGCAGTGAGGTGAGCCACAGTCCTTCTTCACCTGTGTTGTGGAGTGCTATGCTTCAAAACTCAGGTAGAGTGTAGCTCTGGCTACATCCACCATAGCTTTCCATTTGACCAGCAGGTTAAGCCCAACAATGCAGTGGTCTTGTATGTTGACTAACCAAAACTTGTGGCCAACAATGTGGTTAGCAACAGTTGCTCAGAGAAATTTTTCTCCTATCATTCTTGAGCGTTCGCCAGTAACTGTGGTGATAGGGAGCTTGGTTGGCCTCCATCGTCTTGAGCCATGTGCCAGGCAGGGTTCCAGGGCAGACTAGGGAGATGTTGGACCCAGTGTCCACCAGGGCTCTGAATGGAGTGCCGTTAAGGTTGAGATCCACATACGGTCCATTGGCATGGCGTAAATGAATGAGTCGCAGCTGTGACTTGGCAAGGGGGAGGAGATGGTTATGGGTCGCTGATCCCCCGTTGTGCCACCCTGCTCTAGTTTGTTGATGGCTGAGGCACTGGGTTTCTTGAGGCTGGTGCTGGGCAGTGAATTGTGATGTGGACTGGCTCTCTGCATCAATAACATCCCTCTGTAGACTGGCAGGCATCTATTCCAGCTCCCTGTTGTGGTTGTCGTTGAGGTGCACTGGTGACTTGGTGGAATGCTGCTTCATCTTCGCTTCCCTCATAGTCTGTTTGGCATACCTGGTGTCTTGTGCTGGGAGGGCAGTCACTTTTGACCAGTACAGGCTCAACCCGCTTTGCTTCAGTAAGGGCCTCAACCAAGGTTTTTGGTGTGTACAGGCGGATGCGTTCTTGGGATCGTTATGGCTGGAGCCTCGGGAAGAGGGCTTGGAGAGTGAGCTCTTCCTGTGCTGCAGTGTCAAAGGTGGGATACCCCTACTGTGCATAATGATGGAGATCTGCAGTGTAGGCGCCCAAACTCTTAATACCTCACCTCTGGCAGCTGTCCAGCTTGTCCTGGGCATCACCAGCATAAGCACTGCAGACAACACAATGCTATATCGATCTCTCAGTACTAGGCCAGTTGAATCGCTCTTGTGGTTGGAAGTCTGCGAGGGCAGCTTGTACTGCTGTCTCCTCTGCTGACCAGGAGTTACATTGAGCGGCCAGATGTACTTGAATGATGCAAGTATGTGGTGGCTCCTCCCCATTATAACGTGGCAGCTTCATCCCAGCTCATCGGGAGCCGTCTGGTGGCACTAGTGGGGCTGGCAGCGCGTTGTCAAGGGTGACGCTGTCACTGGCTGTCAGCAGGGGTAGAGGTGTGTGGGCCATCACCAATTTTGAGGGAATGGCAGTGCTGTCCCTTGTTGCTGATGTCAATATAGGAAAGCTGGCTATCTATCGCCAACGATCTCCCACCTCTGGCTCCACCAGACAGGCTGGCTATGCTTTTCCCAGGATGCATCATCATAGTGGGCAGGAGGTCAGTCCTCTGTGGGCAGGTACCCTCAATAGCGTGCAGGCGTGTGATAAGTTCTTCTATCTCTTTCATCATGGCTGCAGTCCAGTATTCCACTTCAGCCACCAGTGTAGCCAACTGTGACAATTTGCTAACACAGAAGAAGTAGAGAGATAAAAGCTGAAATAGGAAATGTTATGTACTTACCCATAGTTGCTTCCTTGCTCAACCCTCTTATAGCTACACAGGCGGGAGGTCACTAAACATGTGCACAACTTAACTCATGGTGCAATACGTCCCAACATTTACCGCAACCCATTACAACCATTATGAAGTAAACGAACATTAATCACTGCATAATAGGTAACGTGAGTAATTTAAAACACATTTAAACACAACTTCCTTTGGCTCATGGCCACATTGTCCCACGGCATTCTGGGAAACTCCACCTATTCAGCCCCTAACATGCCACAATATTTAAGACATGCCTGCAGGTATGTCCATATGTACAGCTGTGAGACATTTCTACCACTGAGAGTTTAGCTCATTGGGTTTGAGTTTGAATCTGTGTATACAGTGTCTGTTTTATTAAGACCACGGCTCATCACACAATCAGCTACTGGGACTGCCCTCCAGACATACACTGTGAAGCAGAGGTTGAAGGACGCAGTTCAGCAGTAGGATGAGAACAGTGCAGTCTGTAGTGGTTTAATAGTTCATTGATGATTCAGGTTTGATTAAATCAAACCGAAACTGTCCACTATTTGTTGGCATTACAGTAATCAGATATTACGCTCAATAATAAAAGCCTCCACCACAACCTTCCTTGTTGCTCTTGACTTTGAGATTTCTGAGTGTCATGTAAGTTCAGAAATGAAAAACCAAACCTACTTATATAAATGTTTATCATATGTTAATTGTTGAGACATTAATGAAAACAACTCTTTCAAAAAAATGGGAATGTGCTTTTATTAAATAAAGAATAAATTACAATAATAAGACATTAATGTATATATAACTCAATATAACACTGAAAATTATATCTCAATATGTCACAGCAACGTTGAGAAAAATGGTTATTAAATAAATATAATACATTGTGAAGTTGTATTGATTCAAGGGCATGAGTGATATGTGGATAGTGGGCTGTCAGTTTAGTTACAGGAGTTAAGACAGCAGTGTTTTAACCTCATGAAATAGCAATTTGATGTACACATCACACATTCAGAAACAGTTGATAAGTTGATGCAAAGTTGCAGTGATGTGTGAACTGATTGGCTGTTAGCAATCAGGCGATATGAACACAAGCATGCACACAAATACTGTTTCAAATTTCTGCTTGAAACCTTTGACTGCACTACAATCACAGACAACTATTATCAGTTTGTTGCAGACGTCACATTTCATATCAAAATCACACAAACGTGTATGATTGTACAAAAGGAGGATTCAACTTGAAACAAACAAAAAAAATTGTTAAATATCGAAAGATTGAATTACTTGTAGTTTTGGCATGTTTGTGCTCTACTGCAGACACTGCATGGCAGAACAGTATAAATGTTAAGTTCCTGAAGAAAACTTCGTAAACATGTTCACAACTTAATAATTGAAATTGATTTGGAATAATTACACCAACACTTTGAGTACATACCATTGGGGTAATATGATTAAAGCTTCTTGTATACCTGATCTGCAGAGATATATTAGTTATCAATGGCAGCAGCGGACCATCCAAACCTTGTAAACTTTATCAGGAAATAAGACTGGGCTCTGCAAAACTTTACCTAAACAATCTCAACATTTGGAAGGTCTGAGGACTCAAAGCTGGGTATATGTCTTGTTCTACTGAATCACTGCTAATACATGGCAGAGTGCTGCCACCAAGTGGTGAACATATGAATTTCATTTTAAAATAGTATTAACACAATTACTCATCACCACATCAGAGCTCTGTCATGTTTACAAAAACCTTTGCACAAGACATTGAGGAAAAAAAGAAGTATTTTGTTAACCTATTATTAGGTGTATTGATTACACCACTGCTGTCTCTTGGGTCAGAAAATATTCTTTCATGGATGGCTGGTGGGAACAGTGAGGAGAATATGCATTAAATCAACTGAGCCTAACAAAAAACATAAGCAAGTGGCAGCGGTTTTCAAGGACTGATTTACACTATATATGATTTACTCATAGCTGAGTAAGCTTGTGTGCATTTTTTTTTATGGCATTATTGGCCATGCTACTCCCTAATTTATATAAAGTAATGCAGATAACATTACATGCTGCAGGCTTTTAGATTAACATTCAAATTGGATGCACGTTGTCCATTTAGCTGTCAAAATATGTCACAAAGTCAATATGAACCAAGGAAAAAATATGCATTATTTATTAAACCAATGATCAGTTTTATAATTATCCTTTGGTGTCACTGCAAGAGCATACACAGCTAATGCAAGTGAGCACAAATGTGCTGGACCACATTTTTTTCCTCTTTACCCACTGTAATGGAACAAAGCATGCTGAGCTGTATCATCCCACAGCGTTCAGTTTGTGTGCACTATTATGGTGAATCATGGAGTCACAGAATCTGCAGTATGCACAGTCATAGTCAATTACACACACACACACTGCCGCACACAGAATTGCATTCAATATGTGACTGATGTTGCAGCTTTTCCTCATTTTAGTATGCAGGTCTGTGCAGGCAAACTATTTTTAAATGGAAAATGAAACGCGAACAGGGCTGGGGAACATTAGAGAAATTTCATTTGTTTTCTCCGTGAGGGTGGGTATTAAAGAAGACAGCGCAACTTGCACTGTTTGTTAAGCCCTCCTGACAGTAAAGCCACAGGGATTCTCTCATGGAATGAGCAGTTGCTGAAGACAAACTTAAAAAAAGAAGTTTGTACGGAGTCAGCTGCAGAGATGTTTCGTGCATCACTTCTGTACAGAACTTACGATTTTTATATTTTGCAACTCAAATTAATTTCATTTGTCTGAATTCAGACATCCGTTGCTACAATACTAAAACTTAAAAGGTGCCTCTTACAGCTAGCCTAATAATGTGGCACTTTCCAATATTACACTACCTGCTCAATGATAAACAACAAGGCATTGGCAGTCAATAAAGTCTTAATTTTACAATGGCACTAAGTTATCTTTTTTTGACTGGACTTTCATTCAAATATTCATAGGAATGACTTTGAAACCAGAGGGGTTTGATATGTGTTTGTCAGGAATAAAGTGTAGAGGATGGTGTATGGAGTTAGGAATCAAAACAAAAATGGACATGTTAAATGACCAATTTTTACAGAGAGAAATGTTTACAAGCATGCAGCGATGCCGCCGTGACGATGATAATAATATTCTGTAGAGTCATCTACCAGCTTCATTGCACTGTTTTTATTCACACTCTGACTGAACTGACTACAGGTTGCTTTCTTGGGTGTCATTGGAGGATATGGGGTGGAGACCTCCGTTCTCATTCAGTCTCTTGGCACGATAGGTTTCATAGTGAATGTTGTGAGTGACTTCCTTCAGATCCTGGAGGTGAGACCTGAGAAAGAGAGGTAAAGGAACACAAAGGGGAGATGTTATTAGTTATATATGTATCTATTTGACAAGGAGGTGTCAGATTTATTGTGTTTTTTGGATCATGTTTTAGGCCTAGCCCACACATACACAGGTATTTTTTCAAATATAGTTTTTTCTATGTGTTTTGGCCTTTTGTCCACATGCAAACTGCATTTTAGGACACTGAAAACTGACCTTTTGTAACTTCTTACAGGGTGAAGATTTTCAGAAACTGTGTTTTCAAACAGAGTTTGTTAGTGTGCGCTGTTATCTCATTTGTGAAGCAACAAATGAGGCACCATTTCCTGCAGTTGCGGAGGTGGCCAAAATAGTGCTGGCTTTAACCTTGCTAACATGACTTTTTAAATGTTTACACTAAGCAGCAACCTGCAGAGCTGAAAAGTGAAGCCAACACTTAAGTGCCAAAAACTGCAGTTCTTTGAATGGCCACTTGAGGCTGGCTCTAAAATCCAGTCAATCCCTGTAGACCCCCCATGTTTAAATGTCCACCTTTACAGCAGAAATAAACATGTTTACAGCCTGATACAAAAGCTGTTTTGGTCTCTGTATATAATTTCCCTGTTCGTGACAACTGTAAGGTGGGTGAAATTTTCTTTAACTCGCTTGCTTAAATGTTAGTAAGGCTTAAAGTTATGCATAACTAAGGCAATGGCCACTTTGATTGACAGGTGGGTGCTGTTTGCTGACAAGCCACCATGGTAATAATGTTGATTAGGTAATGTAACACTGACATAACCCAAGATTCAAAGAGTATAGGTGTAGCAGTAGCTGTCACTCTTCAGTTTGTTTTCTGTTCATGAAAGTTAATTAGTCACCTAAAAAAATGAAGCTGCTGCCCTGTATTGTTTCAAAATTTTGGAAATACTTTGTGGAAAAGTCTTGTTCAGCGTTTGGTTTCACTAAAATAATGTTCAGTTTTTCTGGAAAGCACAGTTTGTTTTAATGGTTTAAAGTCTGATTTTCGCCAGTGAAAATTAGCATCAGCATTATCACAGTTGACCATTGACTGTAAATGCACTGTGCTAATCAAGCAAGCAGCTAGCGTTAGGTTTATCTCCAACCTGTCATCCAAATATGGTCATTTCTGGCTTCAAAAAATGCAAAATGGCAATGGTCAAAATGCCAAACCACATAAATTTACAGTTACTCTTCCACTATATTAAGGAATGGGACACAAAGGTCACTGCTACACAATCCAACACTCCCATGACCCACGGACTCCCACCTGTTGGTCTGCCATGCTGTTGACAGCACTTCAGTTGTGTTTTTGTGTTTTCATTTGGATGGATATTTTTAAAAACAGTTTTTTGAGAAAGAGGAGGAATACAGTGCAATAGCATGACTGGACCTGGGAAAGAGACTGAACCAATAGGTTTTGCCACAGAGTAAAAGATAACATCATACGCTTACAAGCAAAGAATTACACAGAATATATACAATTCAAAATGCTTATTATGCTTATTTTCACATTCCGTATTACAGCTGAAATTACTGGATGATTAATAGATGAGTTGGTAATAGCTGCTGATAATGATCACCAAATATCTTGGTAACAGACTATATTTCCACAAAAATGCCCAAACAACTCCTGGTTCTCTCAAATAGTAAGTAATAAGTAAGTGTAGTAATAGTAATCAGAATATCATTATATTTTAATATCAAATTTGAAGACTTCACCTTGAGAAATTGTGATTTTTAAAAAATATTTAATAACATTTTAACATACAGAACAATTATTTGATAATAAGAAGATAATGATTAGCTGCAGCTCTATTACATCCATGATTCATGCTGCTAAAACAAAATGATGCCCTGTGGCATATCCCATTGTTTTTAATTGCTCCTTAAATCCAGTGCATTGTATTAGATTTTAATGATATATTTAAAAGACTATTTTACCTGATCAGGAAATCTCTCAGCTGAGCAAACTCACAATGGTTGGGATTTTCAACTGCAACAACAACAAAAAATGGACAGGATTAAATATCACATATTGTCCTTTGCCTGACACCATCAGTATAATCTCTGTATGTCATGAGTGTAAATGTTACTTATTAAGAAAGGCCACCTTCTACAATGCCCCACGCTGTCTTCCTCCCCAGAACTCGTTTGCCATTCACTTGATATTCTTTGTCACTGCCCACGACAGCAAAGGGCATCGCCTCCTATGGACAGAGACATTTCAACACGGTTCACTGTACCAAAGGGAGCTGCACAAGGTTTATGAGACGAAATACACAACTCCAGTGCCCTGGCATTCTGTTTAGAGGAAGCAGTGCATGAGTGTATGAGAGAGACAGTGGGTCGAGCTGGGTGGAGAGGAGGGGTCAGAGGGAGACTCATCGGACAAATGTGTGTGAAACAAAGAACAGAACCACTTACTCTGATCTTGTCATTGTCGCTCTTGTCCTCCATGTCCTCATCAAACTCCTTCTGTGGGTAAAACTCAATCCCGCCCATCTCCAGCTCCTTCCTTACCTACAGCATGAAACACAGCAAGGAGACAAAACACATCTGTGACACTTCACCCAAGCCCTGTCTTCAAATCACTTAATTACCCAAATCTGTGAAGAGTCTGTGGGATCTAATGCCTGTCCAATATTGGAATTTGGAGACAGATACAAAAAAAACGATTCTTATAAATAATCCTATCAGCCGATATGAGCCAATAGTCTTTTTTCACACACACACACACACACACACACACACACACACAAATAACAAAAACAGTGGCTGAACAGGTTGTAACATAACCTAAAACCTGACTCTTTCCCCAATTTCCTTGGCTGCCTTTATCAGCTTGTGGACTGATCTCTAAGTGAAGAACTGGGAAAGGTTTTCTCTGGAAAAATCCAAAGCATGTGACGTTTATGCATGCTCTCAAGTGCCTTGCCTCTCTTCATCTTACTACAGTGCTAACAATGTGCAACAGTAGTTAACATTAGCTTAGAAATGACATCTACTACCGGCACCCATCACAACCCAGACTCCACACAGGCTGTTTTTCTGTTCCATACATTTTGCAGTGGTGGCCTGGAGACAGACCTTTACTTAGCAGCTGTAGCAAACTCAGACCCAAGGGTCCCACACCTCAGCAGCATCAAGAGGAAATGTGGCTGGACTACAATGTAAGTTAAACGGGCGAAAGACCAAGATGGTGCATGGGTCCAACAACCACAACTTTCAACTGGGACGCCGGTCTTCAGTTCCCCTGTTTTTGTTAAGCCAAACCCTGTTCTTTTTCTAAACCCAACCACCTGCTTTTGTTGCCTAAACCCAACCATGTGCTTGTGTTGGCTAAACATAACCATGTGCGCTTGTTGTTGAAAGAGGAAGAAAAAAAAAAATCAATTCACTGTGTTGTACCAATGCAGTGTGTTTGTTTTGATAGAGACTGTATATAGAAAACACGCAATGCATGTAACAGGCTGAAGTTGACATAGTGTCCCAGAACGTCAACAACCAACTCACCCAGGTTACCTTGCATGTCAAATGTCAAGGTAAAAACATCCATGACCAAACATTAATATGTGACGAGATGAGAATGTGCTGGACGTTATTAGCAAACAGCTGCTTATTTACACATCCAGCAGACAGAAAACAACATCAGCAGTCACTTGTGTTTCGGGTCATATGAATAATGTAATACTGATTTAATTTTTTGGTCTCCATCAACTCCATTTTGTTCACCAGCTGGTTGCTAACTGTGTCTGCCAAAAACGGCACTATGAGAGGGAGACCAAAAAAAACTCAAAACATAAAACTGAGACAATGAGTTAAACAGTTTGCTAGAACTGCAAAGTTGGGTGATAATTCTCTGTCATTTAGTCACTATGAGCGTCACCGTTCACATTAGTCATTTGATCCATTGGTATATATAGTGATTTGAGCAGCTTTAAAAACCAAAATATGAACTGAGCAGCACATTCTGGAGTTACAAAAAACGTGTCTTAGCAGAGGAAAAACAGTGCAATAACAAATAACTCAAACACGTCTTTGAATTTCTTGATAAATATAGGCTATGACATGACATGTAAACAAATACTGTATATCATAAATCAGCTGATATATGGGCCTGGAGGATTTATCAGTCTAACTGTAAAGGGCTTTTCATTGGTGGAACTCACCCGCTGTTTGAATTCCTGTCTCTCCTCAATGGTCATTGTGTCCGCCTTTGCGATGACAGGAATAATGTTGACTGAGTGACTCAAGCGCTTCATGAACTCGACGTCTAGTTGCCGAAGACTAGGACAGACCGACAGACAGAGAACAGGAAAGACAGAGAGGGAAGGTGAGTAAGTGGGTAGATTCAGGAGCTGTGACTCTTCCAGAAGGCTCGCATGTGACAGTGAAAAGAGGGTCAGGCTAACGAAAGGCAGAAGGAGGCACGGGGGTTTTATTTGTCATGTTTCATACGTCTCATTACCTTTCCCCGGTCTTGTAGCAATCACAAAAGACTTACAGTGTGGATGCTATTTGAAAAGTGGGCTTATCATTGGACAAAGGTTCTTGTTCGCCTGCACACAAAACATCCTGTCGCTCTCAATTACCCCGGCTAAGAAGGATGGGATACACTTGCTGTAATACACAAAAGACTGTATCCGTTTATCCATTAAAGAGCAATTTCACAGTTGTCAGCGGGAGCTAATTGTGAGGTGTTCAGAGGAGAGAGTGTTGTCTGCAATATAAAGTAGCTCTCTTGATATAAGGCTTTGTTAATCTGAAATGAAATGTTTTTGGATAAAGGGACACGAACACTGGTGCACTGTATGTACACTGCTCTCTGCCAACATATTACTGAAAACAGCTTTTAGATCAGATATTTAACTTTGCTAATCTCTAGTTCAGATAAGGTTTAACTCACGAGTGTCCAGTTGGGGAGATGAAATAGAGACAGCAGTGCACCCTGGTGTCGGGGATGCGCTTCTTTCTGGTGATGTTGACCTCCTCCTTCAGGAACTTCTCATACTGCTCATTGATGTACTTGGCAATAGGCTCCCAGCTGTGGATACAGCAGAAGAGGTCAGCTTGAGAGAAACAGATTATTTGAGCAAGAAAAGAGAAGTGGAAGAAGACGACTTTACTTGAATGGGATCATTTTCAATACTGTTTCAGGGAACTAAATGCACTATTGCATTTGGTAAGATGACAACTGAAAAATTGTTGACAGTAAGATGAGGCAGTAATGATGACATTTATGAGGCTTTCATGATGGAGGAGTTGGAAAGCCTACCAGTTGTCATTATTAATTTGGTCTCCAAAGCCTGGAGTGTCGACGACTGTCAACTTCATCTTCACACCACCCTCCTCAAGGACTGTAAGAAAAATATACACACACAAAGAAAAGAACAACATAAACCACAGTTGTTGCTTTGTTGGTGCAAAATCAATTTTATGCAGCGGGTTTGTACTTGATGTGTTTTCGCAAACGGAATATTTAACATATTGAACAAATTTTTATGCCTGAGATACACAGAAACAGCACTCATGCTAAAAACACTGCAAACCAAAGATGATGATCTGATAGAGATATTTTTAACACGTCTGCTGTGTCTCTCAGGCAACGTCTCGCTCTGGCAAGAGCGTAATGATGTCAGGTCACTGTCAACCGCAGGCTATGTGTGCATGATCGTGTACTAAAACTGTAACAACCAAACACTGGGCTTTTTCCAAGGGTTTGACATTTCACCATTGTTTCTCTGTTGCTGTTAAATCATCAAGGATGTTGACGAGTTCAGTCACATCTCCAGTCCCAGGTTCCAAAATGAGCAGAGTTACTGCTGAATGTTACATAGTATAGAGTCCCCGACTGATTTCATAAACAGCACGCAGAGCTGTCTGGCGGTGACTGATTTGATACTAACACTGGGGGAGGGGTGCCAAAGTCAGATATTTTCAAATACTACACATAGTGACTTCAAATAGGAGCAATCGGCTCTGCATTCCAGCTAATTAGGATTCTTTTCAAACCAAAATCATGGCTGATTCTTGCTGCACAGTGTGGTTTATTCCTGCAGAAAGCCTGCGTGTCGAGGAAGAACATCACAACATGAATGTTTTATGAAAGAAACTCAGCGATGAGTGAAACAAGCCTGACTCCTCGCTCTACAACATTGTTAGCGAGCCACAAATTGAGCCATGTTTACCTCTTTGTGTCATTTGTCAGCAGGGGTCATTCATTGTTGCCATGGAAACAAAGCTTGCAGTTCAGAGACTGTCTGGTGTTATGGCAGTTAACTTTTAAGGACATCCCTATCTTTATGCAACTGTCTTACTTGTGTTAGGCAAACAAACTAAGAAAGCCTAAATCCTCTCTCATCTCTTTATTAAAGTATCCCTTATATTAGCAGAATGGAGTTCTTTTTTACCAACTGTAGAGCTTGTGTGTCTCATTTGACATGTCCTAGTATAATAAAAATGTCAGACAAATGTAAACTGGCTGGATAGTTCAAGTCTGCACTGGGTGTTATAGAGAAAATCAAATATCACAATATTTTTGTCCAAATACCTCAATATCAATATTGTGTTGATATTGTAGGGTTGACTATTGGCATCATGGTATCAGGTTTTTGATAAATAATCATCAGTAATATGGATATAATGACTAAGTGGGTAAAGGCAAATAATCGAACAGCTTGAACAGTCTGGCAAGTTCAGGAAATAACATCACTTTACTGTAACATAACCCTTACAACCAGGAAAAGACAACAATTAGGATATTACAATATCCATCCATATCCATATCCATATATTTAGATAAAATATCAATATATTGCCCAGCTGTAGTTGTGTGAGACAAAAAGAGACAATTTCAAAAGCTCAGTCTGTCAAACACAAGTCAAATGAAAATGAAAAGAAGTTCTGATGCACCTACAGTATGTGTGTGAACAAATACTATCTGGCCTGAAGATCAACAAGTCTGTCCACAGCCCTGCATGCCAGCAAAACACTTTGAAAATCCTCACAGTTACAGACATACCTCTGAGGATTAATGAATTTGTGTCAAGTCCTAGACCCAGATTATCACAAATCGAAGTAGCTGATCCTTGAACAACAACCTGTCATCTGTCAGTGATCTGTCCACCAAATTTTAGCATAGGGATGCCTGAATTTACCGACCAAAAATCAGTATCAGTCAATACTCGCTCTGTTGACTGCCATCAGCCTATCAGCAAATAACAAGACATCTACCAAAGACAGTGGCCAGTGTTTTTCTGTTGTGTCGCATCAATTTCAAATCAAATCGTCCCTAAACAATGTGTTTTCGGACAAACACAGATGTTTTCAGGAAGTGAATTTTCGTTTCCGGAATAGTGAAGGCGTGCCCCACCCTACTTTGCCTTAATGTAGACAGAAATCCCTGCCGCACTGGGCTGACGTGCCAAGTCAAACCAAACCATGCCAAGCCAGCATGAGTGTAGAAAAAAGGCATTACTCTGCCTCTAACTGGCTTACCCTGACATTCTTACCCTCACCTTAACCAATCCATCTCCTCTTGCCTAAACCTAGCAACCTAACCAACCCAACCAACAAAGCCAATGAGCACTAGACAATCAGAGGTACAGTCGGGCACGTCATGCCTTCGCTTTCCTAGGAAACATAAAAATTACCTCCCTAGGACACCTTTGGGACAAAAGGACACAGTAAACTGACAATCCGAGGAAGCACCCTATTTTTTTTCTGACAATGATACATTGTGAACAACAAATCCACATTAACATCTGCAGATGGACAGCTGGTTAACGTTAGCTGTTAGCAGCCAGTGGCCGGAGACAACAGCATTGCATTAAAGAGGTATTTCACTGCTGGAAAGATGGCCGTTTAAATAAAACTACTCTGTGCAGGAGAAAGACACAAATGCTTTTGAAATTGGTGCCACAGAAACAGAGAAAATAGAAAAAAAGGATGACACAATGCCAACACATCTGTTTGAAACAATGGCGGCCAGTTGGCAAGAAACAATGTCGTATTACAAATAAAAAGTGGCTAAAACATGTTTCTGAAACATCTGAAGCAAGAAATTGGCAGATTACAGAAATTACTTCGTCCATGCCTGAGTTTTGCCAGGGGGCAAGGAGGGATACCTAGGCACTGGCCAGATGGAGGGAAGTTTACCACAGTTCATGTACACATACTACTCAGCATATTAATTTGATACAAAGATGGTTAAAAAAACAGGGAACTATCACTTTAAGTGACATTATGGTGTGCTCAAGTTCTATTCAGTGAAACTGAGTATTGGACAAAGGTAAATTATAATGTTACCATGATGTGCTCAACTGTAATCTTGGCCTGAAACTTGCAAAAATACAGTTTGATGTTTTCACCACAAAATGAAATATTTATTTGAGAGGGAATCACAATATGTTACATGAAGTAAAAAGGCTTTTACAGCTACTCAAAATAGACACGAGTCAGGAAGGTTTTTTATGATTCTGATATGATTCTGATATTCTTGCGAAATGTGAGGGAACCACCAGCTGTGACAGTAAATGCACAGCCACAGTAAACAAATCATCAAAGCCTCTCACACAAAGTAACTGCAGAAGACACAGAAGTTGGCCAGAGCATCCGTAGCTCAACTAAAATAAATGAGAAGCTCACTTGGCAGCTACCAGGGTGCACTGATAGACTGTAAGTAGGCTACATGGGACTTTTAAGAACACGGTCAAAGATTGTTAATTTTCTCTGTCAAATTAAACGCTGCTATAAATGTCTGGCTCTAAAGAAAGAACAGAAGCTCTCTCCCTGTACTCACCATGAGACACTGCTTTGATCTCCACAGTTTTGGGGATCTTCTCATCACGGCCCCATCCTGCGCTACTCCTGCTCACCTGGGACTTGAACAGGGTGTTCACCAGAGTTGACTTTCCGAGACCGCTGTGACCTGAGACAAGAGGGAGGGGGAAAATGTAATGAACAAGCCCAAAGAGTAGACAAACTTATGATGGTATGAGGTATGAAGGAAAAATTAGAATTGATTTGCTTTTCTCTGAGAACAAAAATCAAAGACAAAGGATAAAAAAACCCCAACTAATTCTGTGACTTACCGACAACCATTATGTTAAAGTCAAAGCCCGTCTTCATGGTCTTCTTCCTCATCTGCTCAATGATGGTGTCAATACCAATGTACCCCAGCAGAGTGGATCCACCACTGGAGGTGTGGGAGCCTCCATGCCCATGACCTCCATTGTGTGCTGCAGTGTGACCTCCACCGTGGCCCACACCGTGACCCACTCCGTGACCTATGCCATGACCCACATTATGACCCACATTATGACCAACAGCGTGGCTCGGGCCGTGAGTACCGATGGGGACTGGAATGGCACTTGGAGGAGGAGCTGAAGTGCTCCTTTCCCCTCCTACTCCTCCTCCAATGCCCGGGCCCTGGGGTGGGAAGGGGCTGGAGGGGGAAGGACCCCCCACATTTGGAGGCTTGGCAGGGACGGCTGGTTTGGGTCTCACTTCTGGAGGAACTACGTCTGACATGTCTACAGGAGAAAAAAAGGAGAGGAGGATAACAAATATATTGTTTCATCAACAGAAAATACTGCCACATTAAGAAGTAGGCCAGCACAGCAAGCTGAGGCCTCTCCTCCTTTTAACTTGTTCTACACTGAAGAAATGGGTTATTCCCTCTTCGATGGTAAGCTGCCCAAAGTATTAAACTAATATATTGCTTTCACGGAAAGCGTTTTGATTTTAAGATATTTGTCTTCAGTTTGTAAAAATAGATGTTGCTGTTGAGCGTTATTAAGTGAATTAGGTACTGGTCCCAGATCCACATTAAATACAGTTTCTTCATCAATGTCATTGTAAAATTCAGTATTTCCGATGTCAGTCAGCACCACCAACTACATTTCTAAAGCCACAGCAATTGCTAGTTATAATAGGGATGTAAAAAACAGGTCTCATCAAGGGGGGATTCTATATTGATTTCTTGGACAAGGACACAATATTTGGATTTCCTAATCTCAACCCGAGCCCGACGGGTCCGAAAAGCCCGACGGGTACCGCACCAGGCTATCTGTCCTTCCTCCCTGCCGGAGGAGGGTGCGTCACTGGCATAGAAATACAGTGTGAGTCGTTGATAATATTGGATTGCTGATCACTGAATTGATTTGATCCAGTTCGATGTATCCTTACACTCCTCCAATCCAGGCTATGGTACTAAAAATTGCAGATACCCAGAGTTTAGGTATCCCTACATGTAACTTTTTTTATACTATGAGCACTACAGCTACAACAGTTAGACAACTTATTGATTCATCAACAGAAAATTTATCAGGAGTTACTTTGATAATCAATCAGTTGTTTTGAGTCCTTTTTTTTTTTAAGAAAATGCCAAGCTCAACTTCCAGCTCCTCATATTTGAATGTTTTCCTGGTTTCTTGTCTACTATGATAGTACTGAATATCTTTGGTTAGAAAAAAACCAATACATTTTAGGAAGTTACTATGGACTCTGGCATTTTGTGGACATTTGCTGCGAATTTATAGACTGAATGATTGATCAAGAAAATAATAGCTACATTAACAAATAAACTCATCATCGGTTGCAGCTCTAGTGAAGACTACAAGAGACACTATATTCATCTCTTTTCAATCAGGGTGGCAGCATACATCTGACAAATAGACATTCAATCTTTATCTGCGTGGCTAGACACCACTGCAACCAAATTAAAAAAAATACTGTACGTTGGTGCGAACTGATCCTTTAAACGAAGCAAACAGTGCGGGCAGGCAGATGGTGCAGTAACAGGCATGTGGTTGATCACCTCATCCCTGCAGGCTGTACACATGGATCAGCCTGCTGCCATGCTTAAAATCAGTGCTGCCATGCTTTAAGTCAGAGCATCCACAGTGGGAGATACAGATGATAGAGGTCACTGAGGCGGTGGCTGTCGCTTTGATTCATGCAGCTTTGCTCCCCCCTCTCCATGCCTGCCCTCCTGCCTTCACACATACAATCAGATTTACAGAATTATTTTAGCACTACTGTGGATCTAAATGCTGCAAGAAAATCCCACTTGAAGACTGAAACATAGAACTGCTGGCATGGAAGCTACAACCTGTTTCCTATCTACAATTTTGGATCTGGATCTCTGTCCTCCAGGAAATTCTGCCTCTCCTCTTGTCCCTTTCTTCCTTCTGTGTGTGTGTGTCCATTTCATTCTCCTTTCTGTGTGAATGATGTGCTTCAGTTATGTTTCTTTAGTGTTTGTGTAGCCTGTCCACTTCCCAGGTTACATGTCTCAGGACTCAGGCTCTAGCTATTTGGAGACACATGGAAGCTGCTTGACATCCTCCTGCATCCATCTTCTTCAGATGTGTTCACATTCTGTAACATTATGTCTTACTGTCTATAATGTAATGTTATTGTGTTGGTCTTTCCTGTGCACAGGACACCTATTGCATGTCTGTCCGTCCAGGAAGAGGGATCACACCTCAGCTGCTCTTCCTGAGGTTTCTTACAATTTTCCCCGTTAAAGGGTTTTTAGAGATGTTTCCTTTATCCGAAGGAGGGTTGAAAAGGACAGAAGGTGTCATGAGCTGTACAGATCATAAAGCTCCCTGAGCCACATTTGTAATTGGGATATTGGGCTATATAACGGTCAAATAAACCGAACTTGACTAATAACCGTTATTTGCGCTGGGTGGCCGCGCATATTAACCTGAAGGGCCACGCACTATGTCTCCACTTTTAAGCTAACCATATTTTTATCTGTTTTAACACACCACACGAGGTTAGCTCCATCACAGCCAGCCCACCCCCATTGTCTCACTCCAGTCATGCTGGATAATAACGTTAACAGCCAGCGGCGGCTCTGTGTTAGCTGCTAGCTAGTTACAGCCCGCTAGCTAACGGTCGACTCGCGGCGTTGATGTAGTGTCACACTCACCGATTCACGTTCAGTTGAGCCGCAAATCCGCTGTTTAGTTGATTGACTGATCAATAGTCGCTCTGACTCCGAGAACAAACGATGTATATCCAAACACAGAGATAACAAGATAAGGAGCGGTCATGTGATTAGTCTGGGTACCTCTTCTCTCCTTCCCCCTGGCAGTGAGCCCCCCCTTTCCCGTTACCACGGCGACAAGAGGAGAGGGAGTGGGGAGATGCAGCGCGCATGCGCAGTCTAACTTTACATCAAAGACTTTTTTTTGTTTCAGTGCCTTCTGTCAGTGATACAGACTATTTTTAGGGAACATTTTGGATCGCATTATAATTAGACAAGTACTGGTGAAAATAAAATCCTGAAATAGGTATTCAGATATTTTACTTGAATTAAAGTACTGCCATGTAAAATATTGTACCATTACAAGTATAAGTTCTGCATTTATGATTGCACTCCAGTAAAAGTGGGAATGTTTTATTAGCATAATATACTTAAATTATCAAAATTAAAGGTCCTCATTGAGGGAGAATGGCCCCTGTCAGTGATATACTTGTATTACTGTGTGTTATATTATTGGACAGCCTATCTATGCAGAGCGAATTTTATATAGCCTACAGAAATATATCATTGTGCTACATATAATACCATATTGTATCTTGCCATTAAAATATCTTACTATGTAAAGAATAAGAACCAAAGACCAGAAGCTATAACTGCAAGGTCAATGTAGTGGAGTAAAAAGTGCAATATTTCCCTCTGAAATGTAGTGGAGAAGAAGAAGCAGACAAGATACAGTGAAGCAAAAGTACCTTAAAATGGTACTTAGCACAGTTTCTGAGTAGATACTGCACACGGTTACATTTTGCTGTGCCTAAGTTAAAGTAACAATAGACTACCTCAGTGTAAAAATACTCCATTACATGTAGAAGTTATTCATTTATAATTTTCCCTTAACCAAAAATACAGAAATATTGTCAACAAAAAGTACTTAAAGTTTCAAAATTACTCATTGATACATTATCATTTAAGCAGCATTTAATATTGCAGCTGGTCTGAATGGAGCTCACATTTGTTTTAAAGCATAATATTCTATAAATTCTATAAATGTTTTGTGTTTAAAATCTTAGTGTGCTAAATGAAGATTGACCAAATGTAGCTAAGTAAGAAGTGAAATGTTTCCATCTCATATGTCATTGACGTAAAAGTGTGAAGTAGCATAAAATGACAATATAGTAAAGTAAAAGTTCCTCAAAATTGTATAAACATACAGTTCTCAAGTAACTCTACCTATATATCCAGTGGTGAAACCTGTGAGGACAGTGTACTTTCATGAAGAATCACTAACAGTGGTTCCCTCTGCTACACAAAGTTTGGTTTATTTCCAGTTTCTAAATCCACTTGTCAACAGATTAATCTCTATGACAACCGAGCAAACGTCAAGACAAATACTAAATATTGGACAGTTTGACAATGTAGGGCCTTTAAAAGTTATTCAGATGAAACCATGTGACCATAAACTAACTGGACTACACAATCTGTGGCAGTGGGATGTAGATACTTAAATCAAATTTAGTGGTGATTTTTTTAATGTATATCCTGTAATTTTACTGTAGGACTTACATTTGTATAAATAAACTTTAACCAGCAGTAATTGCATATGTAAAATTGTTAAAAATTGTTTCATAAAACGACTTCTTAACCTAACTGTACCACTCTACTCACAGTTTATCTCTGAGTTGCCCTCCAGTCATCCCTCTTTTGCTTTCCTCTCTGCATGTTTTTGTTGTGTTTGTTTGTCCCTGTGGAGTGCTGTAGTGGCATGTCCTCCTGGACTAGTCGTCACTTTGATAGATACTGCTAACCAACATTGTCATGTCTCTCCTCAGCATGTCTGTTACTCTACTGATAAGGAGCGAGGTCTTAAATCCCTCTGCTTTCCTCTTTGACCGCCCCCTCGTCTGACTTCCCGCCCCCTTAGATAGACAACATTTAACTCTAAAAAAGACTAAAAACAAGGGATGAGAGAGTCATGTGTGACTTGAGGGGCTGTTTGACTTTGTTAAGTTAAAGTTTTCCAGGTGGTTTGGATATCTCTGTACTCACCCACGTACACTGAACCTGGGTAATACATGGTGACGTAATAGGGGTCTTCTGGCTCCTCCATGATAAATGCTCTGTCTGCCCGAGAGTAATTTGGTCCGTGTAGTGGAGGGGGAGCTGTTGTTGTTGTCTCATCTGCTCTCTGGTGCACTGTGTGCTGCGGCTGGGACGGCAGGTCAAAGACCTCCTTTGACCTGATGCCAAACCTGTTTGTGTTGAATGGGCAGTATTTCTCTGAGGGATAATCTGGTAGCTTTGCCGGCACAACATGATGGTCAGATGGTGCAAAAATATCTGTTTGACTCAGTCCTTTGTCACTGAGGCTCACCTCTCCATGGCTTTTATTTTGATTGTGATCAAACTGATGTTTGTGTGAGATTATATCTGGTTTGGAGAGGGTCATTTTTGAAGTGGTGCACTCAACAGAAGCCTCCTGTGTCTGAGGTGCCACCAGACATGTCTTAAGTCGATTTAATCTGTGTGCACACTGAGGAGACTCCGTTTCACGATCAATGTCTCTCGACTGGCAGCTGTAATCCTTTGAAACACAGTCGGACTGACTTACTGCGCTCCTTACATCCATCTGTGTGGTTTGATTCTGAGCCTTTGACCAGAATCTGTGTTTCTGAGAAGACTTGATGGGTTGAGATATATTGGTTTGTTGACAGAGTTTAGATGAATTTCCTAGAGTTGTCCTTGTGTTGTTTTCTTCTCGAGGTCTCCTGAGATTAGATAAAAATGTTGTATCCAGTGTTATTTCACTACTGAAGTCAAATCGTCTTCTCCTGGTCTCAACATTGGGTGACTTATTCAAGAAAGGCTCTTTGGAAAAGGACATTTTGGGAGTCGTCGGTGAAGCTGCACTTCTCTCAGAACACATTTGTTCACATGATTGGTCACTGGACGTGTAATTCCTCCTCTGAGGGTAATCTATATATTTTCTGTGAAGGTTCAGGCTCGACTGAGTAGCCGGCACATCAAACGCTGACTGAGAATCTCTCTGAACAACATTAGCAAACTTAATCCCTTCAGACTCGGAGAGAGATGTTTGTGTACCTGTAGCTCCACTTGGCAGAAATCCCTGTTGCTGTTTGATGTTTGACTTTGGTTTAGGGATTGAAGTAATCTCTGTATTCCTAGGTGGAGGCTTTGGTTTATCTATCGCAATATTGTCTTTTTTACTTAAACCAACTTTGTCTTGCAATGAGCAGGATCTCTGAGACATGGCTGCATATCTCTGGGACTCAGTATAATATCGAGACATGGAACAAGCTCTCCTCAAGGTAGGGTGAGTAAAGTCTAGTAAAGCTTCCTGGTCAAGAATGTCATGCTTTGCTTCATTTGAAGACCTTTGTTTGCTGGATTCAGGTTCAACTTTAGTATTGGATATGGTAATTGATCGAGCACGTCTTTCTTTAGCGACAGGAGAGGGCTGTTTGCCTCCTTCCGAGCTCGTCCCTTGGCACAGAGAAGTCGGAGATGGACTCAGTCTAGGTGTTGGAACAATCAGAGTTGGAGATACACTTGGCTTCAGCTGAGGCTGGTGAAGCAATGGGGAGGGATCACTGGGATGAAGAGAATCCCTTGGCTTTGGTTTCAGAGTGGGAGAGGAATTTGACTGTGGCGCAGGAAAAATGGAGATGCAGGGCCGTGCAGAGAGAGTTGGAGAGATGTATGTTTTGGGCTTGGCTCTTGGCAGGGTCGAAGCTCTTTCCCCGTGGTTTCTCTGTGAATGCTGAGATGATTTACTCCAAGGGGGCTGACTGGGTATCTTGGAAGAACAAATGGGGACAAAAGATCTGCAGCCACAAGAGGGAGGGAAAAAAAATGTAATCGCAAAATTAATTCAGCACAGTATTTACTTTATTACATACAGTATAACTGAGCTGCAATTGAAGCTACAGCTTAATTTACCTGTCAGTGTTTGTCTGTTTCGTGTCATTTTCTTCATAGACGAGTCCCTTCTCATCAAATGATGGGATTTTAATGGCTTTCTTCCTGATGACAGGAGAAGAGAGGGACAGAGGAGGAGACAAACAGACTGACAGATGTTCCTTTGTTTGTCTGGAGGATGCAGATACTTGAGGGATCAAAGGTGCCAGACGGTCAAAAACACTCATCCTGTTTTAAGTTGTGAGGGAAGAGATAAAAAGAAAGACTTAGATTTCATTGATAGGAGTGGAGAAATGAAAGAAAATCAAGATGTCCGATAAATATCAAACATTTATATCTGTAAATATTTTGCACATCACAATCTGACAGTGGTGGAGGAAACATTCAGATTGTATATTTATATAACATTTGTCAATACTACAATGTAAAAGTATTCAATTACAAGTAAGAGCATTCAAAATATTCCTTGAGTGAGAGCACAGAAATATCTGCAACAGTAAAAGTACTCATTAGCTTACACAAAAATGGTGCATGTTACCATATTTAATATTAATAGCTTGCTAATACCAATACATTAATGTGTAAGTTGTATTTTACTGCTCTATTCGGTTGAGATGGAGCCTGTTTTACACAACCATAACATAGCATACAGTGGGAATACTCAAGTAAAGCACAGTTACCTAAAAACTGCTCTTAAGTACAGCACTTACATGAATGAACCACTTCTAATCACTGTCTAAAACCATATGGCAGCTATGTGATAACACTGTAAATTCCATTTTGTAACAAATCTTTATGATGAAAAAAGCAACTTTTATGAAGTCGCAATTGAGGAAAACAGACACAAACCTGCTGTCTGAAGTAATGCCTCTGTTGTTGACACGCTGAGCGAGTAAATAAGTCGCAGAGTGCAAGACGGGGAACTCAGCAGTAGGAAGTAGTGGGCACAGAAGTGCCATTCTCTCCATTCCTCCACACTGAAGCTGCACTGTTTCACTCCCACTCTGGGCTCTCATCTTGTTTGGTTCATGGGCCGTCTGTGAAGTCTCAATGTGATCTTATTGTAGTTGTCTGTCTGGTGCAGATCAGTGGTGAATCAAGTACTCAGATCTTTTACTTTATCAAAAAAAAAAAAAAAAAAGTACTTGAAGGTGCCACAAGTAAAAGTGCTGGGCCCCTCATACTACTATGTGT